CTGCTCCTCTCCCCCTCTTTCTCCCCCCTTCCTCAATCTTCCTCCACTACCATTCCCGGTCGGTCCCGGCCCTCTCTGCCTACCCTCTCCCCACCCCGATTTCCCCTGCCCCCCCTTCTCTAGCACCACCCCACTGAGGGGACATCCCTTTCATTTGTGCAGCTTGTACTTTACACCACGGTTACAATATCATGTGGATGCTCTACCACTATCCTCTCACGGACCACTCCCCCCCAAGCCATCGGAGGGTGGGACCCTCCATGTTCCTTGCTGCTGTACATACTATCGTATTGAAACAGTGGACGTTGCAGATTGACAGCGCACCCAGAACGTGTGACAATTTTCAAACCTAATTGTGCACGCACTTAAATGTTGACCATTATTACTAGCACAGTTGTATACTCTGCTTCACAGATGCTGTATCTGACTCAAATTTGAACATCTGTATAGCTGGGTACCCAGTCCTAAAACCTGAAAAACCTTAAATAAAGAATTGATAGAAATAATACTGAGCCGCCAATCGTTTCACTACCCAGTCCTTAAGTGGACCTCAAGTGAGGATGAGCCGGATGACGCCCCCGGAGGGGGCGATGCCGAGCGCCGCCCTGTGGGCGTGGATGGACGGCATGATGTCGGAGGAGTGGGCGGAGCCTTACACCACTTCGGGAATGCATATTACAGATATTAGGTGGCATTACATGGGGGAGCTAGCCCCCCCCCACATGCAATTTCCTGGGAAAATTTCATTCAGGCTAATAGATAATTGTTAGATACAGTGATTTGGTTATTAGGCCGAGCATGCACATGGTGGTATTACATTAGACCCCCCCCCCGGAGCATGCACAGGGTGGTAAAAAGTAATAATCTTAATGTAAATAGGAATAAAAGCTCTTTATTGCAGTTTGATCACTGATATGTTTTATTTCCTCTAAGATAATTACAGAAAAGTTAGTTATTTGATATGAGAAGTTCGGCCTCTGTGGCAGTTGCTTAAAATTACTTCGGCCGGGTTCACTACTAAGCGAATGAGCTGGTGAGCTCTTTTCGCGCAGTTGTCGTGTGCGTTTTCGTTTGCGCGATTTTGCTTGACGCGCGGTTTTCAATGCATAGAGATGTATATGGGACCCCAGCAGAGTAACAACTGCCTCAGGCCTGGTGTACACCTGGGCGGTCTGTGATTGCGCAGCAATTGTGCATGATATTGCGCGGATTGCCGTGTAGTCACGGAGTCGACCACCTCCGACAATTGCTCTGGTGGTGCCGTTATTTTCTAATGGCACCCCAGTCGCGCTGGGCGGATTGCGCAGCTTCTCAGAACAATTCCGCCCGTGCAAACGAACACGATCACGGCTAAAACAGCCGCGCTTAATGGGTCGCAAAAAAAGGTGCATGTATCTTTTTTCTGCAATTGCTGCGTGGATGTCACGCCATTGAAATCAATGGAGCCGCGCAGCAATCACTGTGTGCAATTGTGCAGGACGAGCGTCCCAGATCGCATAGGTCTGCACCGGCCCTTAAAGTAGCTCCTGCACCTTTTTGTCGATCGTTCTGAAGTTCTCTCTATCTCCTCTCTCTCACAGCCAAACGGTGTGTGAGAGAGGAGACAGAGACAAGGCTGCAAACCGCAGCCATTGTTTACTCTTTTGACAGCTGTGATTTGTCACAGCACGATCTCAAGGTATAGAGCCGATTTTACTGGCTCTATACCTGTTATGGATACAGCACTGTCCTATGGACAGTGCGGGCACAGTTACCGCGCTCGTGAGCGAGCGCGATACGCTCACGAGCCGGGGGAGGGGCAAGACGTCTCAAGCCCCCCTCCCGCCCCTACAAGACTCCCGTCCGGCCGTCTACCAACGGCTGGACGGCTTGATATTCGAACCAGACACTTATCCAGGCTTGCAGCCTGGGTGACTATGAAAGGGAAGGCAGTGGGCATGCACCTCCCCCCTCTTCCTGTACCAGACCAGGCCACATGACTTTTAACATGGAATAGTGGTACCTTGCAAGTGGTGGCAGTTAAGCTCTCCTTCCTTCCAAGGCACCAATGTCAGGGACAAGGGCTTCTTCCACAAAAAGTATGTGGGGGGTTGTAAAGGAGACATATAGTGGAATCTGGAAGCCCACTTTACAATAAGGGGGCCCCAAGATATTCGCCCTGTCCCTGAGAAATTAGTACATGGGTACATTAGTACCCCTAATTACTTATTCCCAGGAACAGTCACATTTTTAAAAAAACACAAAACGGAATGTGACAAAGTCATTTTATTTGAAAGATTTGAAAGAAAACACAAACACAAAATATGTAATAATGTCCCACACTATAATTCAGCATCAATCATGTGATCGAGCGATGTAATCCACTTAAAACATAAAGAACCAATGCTCTTTTTTTTACGCACTCCCACTGTTAAATTACAGATCTCTGATGCTCTGGAAATGGAAACACAGTACGGGGCATTCCGGGTGACGTGAGGTCATTGACCATACTTGGTCCTGTAGATTTTAATGGAGTTCAGCAGATATATACTGTATGTTCATTCCTAGTTAAAGGAAAGCTTCCATATTTACAATCAATTTGTGTTTTGCCACTAGGGGTGGTGCGCAACTGCCAATTCTTGCAGCTCTGGCTTATGCGTTACCATGCACACCAGCAAGTACAGTGGTTGCAAAAACCTAACTCTTCCCCATTAACTTTATAATTTATTATGATTAAATTAACTTATTCTATATTTTGTATTGCCTGGCTTTGTCTAGCACTGTGAATCGAGCTTCAAGGTCTCCAGCGATTCTTTGGAATCTGGTGTACCAGAAAAGCCATAGAGTATTCGCACCTTTCCAGATTCCTGTGCCTGGCTAGAGACATAAGGCCATAATACTCTTTAATGTATACTGGAACATAAATATGCACGCTGTCCCAGATTGCCATGCACCCCAGGGTGCTTTGGAGCCTGAAACACTATCCTGGCGCTGGGCATGCAGGACAATGCAAACTAATTTACAGTAAATAATTATAAAGTAGATGTGAGAAGGGCAAACAGCCATTAAGGATATCTTGTAACTAAAAAGCACCATGTATTAAACATTAAAAAGCTTGTAAATAAACCACAGAAATGTCACCAGATCAAGAGTTTTCTGAGGAGAGCAGCAGTGTTGATGTTTCCACGTTACCAAAAGATGGCCATACATGTGCAGATCTTTGGTTGATTATGATGAAAGATTAGACAGCTGCTTGGGTTTGTAATGGCTTCCCACACCCGTCTTCTGAAAAACTTGTTGCCTTTTATAATTTTCTTTTTGACTCAAGAAAGCACTAAATATTCTTTCTACAATTGTTGCAGAGATTTTCAAACAAATTTCAATTCATTTGGCCTCTGAATCCTAAAACTGCATATTTTTTTGCTGGTGATGACTATATCTCTAGCATGAAATTAGACTTATACCGGCTTTGAGGGTTTTTTTGAGTACACATATTTGAATGTCGTGGATTATAATTTTTGCAGTTGTGTTATACAGGTGAAACTCGAATAATTAGAATATCGTGCAAAGGTAATTGCAGTAAGTGCTGCAAAAGAGGCCCAAACCAAGTACTGAGTACATATGCATGCTTGTACTTTTCAGAGGTCCGATATTGTTCTATATGTACAATCCTTGTTTTATCGATTGCATGTAATAATCTACTTTTTTGAGGTTGTGGATTTGGGGTTCTTGGGGTTTTCATGAGCTGTAAGCCATAATCATCACAATTATGACAAATCACGGCTTGAATTATCTTGCTTTGCATGTAATGAGTTTATCTCATATATTAGTTTCACCTTTTAAGTTGCATAAGTGAAATAAATGAACTTTGCACGATATTCTAATTATTCGAGTTTCACCTGTATACTCATAGACCCAAGTGGTCAATTATTAATATAATGAAATACATCTGTCCTCAGGGCAAGCTGTTTGCAAAGTGCAGTAATGCTGCTGACCTAACCATTACATCTTCTGAGAGGGAGGATCCTCCCTTTCACTATCTAGCAAAAGAATTGTGAATAGCCCGTACAGCAGACCTATACTGAGACGCCGCAGCTGAAGCGGATCCCGACAATTATGTCTGGATGAGCGAACGCCGGTAAGTGTTCGCTCACCTCCCGATCTACTGAGCCGACCTGTGACAGTCTCATTGTCACAGGTCGGCTAGAACTATGAGGTGAGTAAAAAGCACTCACCTCATAGTTCTCCTTTAAGACACCTTATCAGAGAGTGTAAGAGCAGCCAATGGATGAGCTGTTAGAGATTGGTAAAAAAGGGGAATACAGAAAATGAATGTTTTGTATTTAACTTTAACTACTCCAATGATTAACTGGAATAAACTAGAATAATCAAAAACCGCAGTTGCAGAAGGTCCCACTCCACACTGCAGGTTAAATGCTCTTACTGTCTAGGCCCTAGGGGATGATGAATAAGGGATTTACTTAAGTTATTCCTCATTCTCCAAGTTTTCTTCTGCTATGTGATGCTTCCAAAATCTGAGTGGGCCTGCAGTGTCCTTGTGCACAATGCAGGACTCTGCATTGTATGTATAGCCTGGCCAGTGGCCCCTTTAACTCAGTTGCATAGCCCAGGCATTCACAGACACACCACAGCCTGCCCCCTGGTCCCCCACAGCTGAAAAAAAGACGAAAAGAAAGTGTTCTCAGTGCAGGAGGGGTGGGGGAAATTACACTGGAGACCAGGGGTGAAGAGCAGGACTTTAATTGCCCCTATTCCATGGCCACACTTTTAGCTCAGCCCACCAGACCTGTTGGTAGCATAGAGGAGGAAGTGTGCAACAGGGATTCAAGCCACGATTCAGCAGGGTGTGCTGTGCAGAGGAATGTTCTATGTGCTGGTACCGAGAACCTGAGATAGGATGCCAGCCTGGGCCAGACCTAGTTGTGTGGTGAAGTGGAGGGCCTTGAGGGGACGGCTGAGTGCAGAGAAAGAGAGAGATGTCGGTGAGGGAGAGCTGCAGAGTGAGCAAGCAGCAGGGAGAGCAGGATAACTGTACAGAGAGAGGGAAAAATGCTAAACCAGAGGATCTGGGTTGGCATGAGTCATGGGCATGTGTTTGAGAGGTGAGCCCCAGAGTGTGATGTGGCCTCCGAGAAATGGACTGCTGACTCAAGGACACCTACACAGCATCAGCGGTGAGAGGCCACTGTACTTGTGCTAAGCTTGCTTGCTGTTGCTGGACTGTGCTGCCACCAGGATAATCTGCCCAGACTGCTTTGGGACATTCCTTTGGATTAAAAATTACTTTAAGAGTGAGAACTCTCATGAGAGTTAAGGACTCCACTGCTAGCCGACTGAATATTTCATCCTCTTC